AAGTTGGCAAGTTTTGCAAAAAATGGTAATTGTGTAAATTATAAAAAAAAATGGTAATTCCATAAAAAGTGTTGGTAACTTATCAACAATTTGTTTAGAAAATAGTCACCATTCATTTGTTTTACGGCTAACTTTTTGACATTTACCAACACTTATTGAAATTTACTAGCATAAAACAAATGGAATAATGACACAAACAATCTCTGAACTTTGGCTCAATGTGCAATTTGGTCCATGAACTTTTAATTTGTTCAATATAGTTTCTGAACTTTAGCCTAATGTTCAATGTGGTCCCTGAACTTTTAATTTGTTCAATGTGGTTCCTAAACTTTTAGTACATGTTCAATTTAGTCCTTGAACTATATGAAAATGTACAATATAGTCCATGAACTTGAATTAATGGAAGGATTACATTGAACATTTTTATAAAGTTCAGGGACTATATTGAACATGTACTAAAAGTTCATGGACCACATTGAAAAAATTAAAAGTTCAAGGACCACATTGAACATTGGTTTAAAGTTCAAGGACTATATTGAGTCAAAGTTTAGGAACTGTTTGTGTAATTTTCCCAAAACAAAACTATAATTTTGGACACGAAACAATAGCATTCTGCCTCAACCCAAGAACAGCCTGGACAAATACAAATTTCTAGTAGCAGTCTGCCTCAGACTGATGAAAGATCATTGTCCATGTTACATGCCAAAAGGAAATCATCATTTGAAACAAAAATCTTCAATTTAAAAAAATGTATCTGTTCTTGGACATCAAGGGAAGCTGAAACACACATAATTAAGCCAACTTTAAGAACAAGCAATGTCACTGTATGGTGAAAACATTGACCCTATCTTGTGCATTGCTAAATGTAATGGTTATACTTAAATCCTAGACAAATTATTGCATAGACTCGGTGGACCTCACGTTAGGGCAACCAAATGAAATAGTGCTTGCAAAATCTTGACCCAAAAACGTGTAGAAATTCAAATAGAGAGCAGTTGAGAGCTTTTTGGCAGTTCAATTCTCATACTTGAAAATTTCTTTGACCAATGTGAAAACAGAAATTACAAAAAAAAAACAATAGAAGAATCAAATCTTATCTACAATGAAGGGATTGTCGAGTAATCAACAACGCTGGTTAGCAAATAATTATGGAAGAAAGTAGATAATAAATGGATTTTACTAACAAGTGCCTTAAGAGCTGAGATTTCTCCAAAGAAAAGTAGGAATATATATTTTGCGGGACGTCAAAATACACTAAAAAAACACGGGAACAAGCGGAGCATACATATACTATTTTGTATGTCACAATTACAAAATTCTAAAAGGCACTTGTTAGTAAAATCATCTTGTGTTTTTGCAAGCACAAGATGCTTAATATTAATCATCTTGTGTCGTAAGTACACTCTTTAACAACATTCATAATTATCGACCAAAAAAAAAACACAACATTCATAATTGGGAAGAAGAAGAAAGGGAAAATGCCACGAAAAACTCTAAATTATGCCACTTGTGATACATTTAGCCTGAACTTTTTTTTGTCACACGAAAAATTCCAAACTATGCCATTTGTGACAATTTTACCCTGAACTTTTTTTTATAACACGAAAAACTCCAAACTATGCCACTTGTGACACATTTACCCCACAATACTTTGACCCATGGGCATTTTCGTCTTTTTCATTTTTTTTTTCCTCTTTTTTTTTTCCTTTCTTCTCCGGCGGAGGGAAGCCGGCGAGGGTGGTCCTTGCCGGCAGTGGGTTGGGCGAGGGCTACCCTTGCCGGATCCGGTCAGGGCAGCCCTCGCCCGACGCCGACGAGGGTCGCCCTCGCTCGACGCCGACGAGGGTCGCCCTCGCCTGAGTCGGGCGAGGGCGACCATCGCCGGCGTCGGGCGAGGGCTGCCCTCGTCAGATCCGGCGAGGGCAGCCCTCGCCCAACCCACCGCCGGCGAGGACCGCCCTTGCCAGCTTGCCTCCGCCGGAGAAGAAAGGAAAAAAAATGAAAAAGATGAAAATGCCCATGGGTCAAAGTATTGTGGGGTAAATATATCACAAGTGGCATAGTTTGGGGTTTTTAGTGTCATAAAAAAAATTCAAGATAAATTTGTCACAAGTGGCATAATTTAGAGTTTTTCGTGTCACAAAAAAAAGTTCAGGGTAAATATATCACAAGTGGCATACTTTAGAGTTTTTGGTGGCATTTTCCCAAGAAGAAAAACAGCATATAAGCAGGGAGAGACAAATTATGGACCTTTCTCGAGATTTTTAACATTCTTTGAGGTCAGAACAATTTGAATCCTACTAATCTGCCCTTGTATTCCTCCAAACTCGGCTTCGTCGGCCTTGTGGGTGTAAGCCATCCTCGCTACATTCTCCCAAAGAAAATCACATGAACATAACAGAGTACATTCTCACTTCTCCACAGTGAGAACTGAGATTTAACCTAAGATGACAATACATCTGTCTGTTATTGGGTGAATTCATTAAAAAACCATCAACTTTAGGTAAAGTCCCAAATCTACCTTAAACTTTCTTTTATCTTGAAAAAAAGCCCCAAACTTTAGATGCAGACCCAAATTTGCCCCAAACTTTTTTTTGTCTCAGAAAAAACTTCAAACTTTAAATTCAGTCCCAAATTTACCCCAAATTTTATTTTGTGTAAAAAAAATCAGCAAATTTCAATTTATTTTCAAAATATACCCCGTGATCTAGTCCCGACTTAACATGGCACTTTCACGTCGATAACAAATCTACGTTAGCAAAGTAATTTGGCAATAGATATAAACCGACGTCGCATTTTCACTTCGATAACAAATCCAACCCAATAAAAATGGTTGAAATTCTCCAAAATAAAACTATTCTAGGATATAAAAGTTAGGGACGATAACAAATCCACCCCAAAATTTTTTTTTAAAATTTAAAAAAAAATAATTTTTAGGTTCAGTCCAAATTTGCTCCAAACTTTTTTTTGTCTTAAACAAAGCCCCATTACTTTGTTGATGTGGATTTGCTATCGACGTAGAAGTACCACGTCAAGTTGGGACTGGATCACAGGGGTATATTTTTGAAAATAAATTGAATTTTTGTGATTTTTTTTGCACAAAACAAAATTCGGGGCAAATTTGGGACTGGATTTAAAGTTTGGGATTATTTCTTAGACAAAAAAAGTTCGAGGCAGATTTGGGACTGGACCTAAAATTTTGGATTTTTTCTGATATAAAAAAAAGTTCGGGGCAGATTTGGAACTTGACCTAAAGTTTGGGGTCTTTTAGGGAATCAGGCCGTCTGTTATTTTTTTTTTTTTTGCTAGAAATCAGGCCGTCTGTTATTAACGTGAAGAGGTGTTTATTACTTCATGTTGTGTCTAGGGTTTTGTCGTTTTCTATTCTTTGACTATTCAGAATGTACCGGATCTAATGAAATTCTCACATGATACTTTCATGGCCAATGCAGGACATGGGCTTTTTTTCTTTTTTTCTTGCTTTAGTAAGCTTACATTCTCCAATAGATTTCAATCAGGTGCTAGATAAACTTCTCTTCTCCAGCTCAACATTTTCACTGGGACAAATAAAGGCATCTATGAGAAATTATTTTCTTTTTGATTGACTCAGGGAAGTCATGCCGAGAACAAATTTAACCCAATTTAAAAAATAAAAATAAAAAAGATCCTACGCTTTTTGAGGCAGAAGGTCAGAGTTTGAGTATAGGTTTCTGCTCTACTATTTTGAGCTTCTCTCATAAATTTAGTTTGAGGTATGTTTCTTTAGGAGCTCTAATGAGAGATGATATCATTTAAGTTTAGTTCTAGCTATATGGACAATTGAATTTTTTTTCCATATCTCTATGTTATTAAGCGAATACAAAAGCAGCGTCAACCTCAAGTTACCATAAAATTTCCCTGAATGTCCATCTCTATCTTTGAAATGATTTATAAGCGTATGCTAAAAAGAATGGGCGTAACTGTAACGCTATAGGAGTCAGGATAACTAGAAGACAATTCCTTAGAACTCTCTTTCTTTCTACGTTAGTGGAACTTTCCAAAGTAGATAAGATCTGCAGAATGCATTCACAAGTATGTCCACTGTAGTCGGTAATCCCCAAATCATGTTCATAACCGCTAATACACTTTGATTTACGTATTATGGTTAATACCACGAAAAACCCTAAACTGGTACATCTGTGGCAAATTTACCCAAAACTAATTTTTTTATTACAAAAAACTCCAAATTGGTACACATATGAAAAATTTATCCCGAACTAATTTTTTCACCACCAAAAACCCCAAACTGGTACAATTGTGACACTCCATTAAATTGGATTAATACCACGAAAAATCACAAATTTGTAAATCTATGACAAATAGAGGAGTAAAACTCCAAACTGATACACCCATCAATAGTATGTGTCATCTAATTCAGCAACTTAATTGTAAAATTTAATGAAAGCTAATGGAAGGTAAATTTATCACAGGTGTACCAGTTTAGGGTATTTGATGGTCAAGAAATTAAATGAGGATAAAATTGTCAAAGATATACCAATTTGAAATTTTTCGTGATATTAACCCTACATATTATTATGTCGTAATTTTCTCCAGTAAATTCGAGAAAAATTATTATTTCTCAACGGAAACCACTGATTGGATCCATGGAGATTGAATTCTGGATGATTTCTCCCATCTTCATCTGTCACTTCATGGTTTTCTTTTTCTTCTCTGAAGCACCACAGTCAGAGAGTAACAGCAGAAGTTCTGGCAAAGCACGAGTTGAATAAAACATACTATTAACAGGATGAGCAGGAAGAAACACGCTAGCCTATTTTCTGAACATGCAAAAATAAAGAAAAAGGAAAGCTAGCACAGGTTCTATTCCACTAAAAACTACCTTTGCAGTGCTCTTCCCATACCTTGTACTGAAGCAGATTTCCCTTTTCAGCAAAAGAAAATATAATGTCAAATTTCACTACATACCCGTGTTAAAACGGACCGTGTTAATATACACCAACAGGTGAATTCTATCAGAGCTAGCTAAATGGAGTCACTGCATTGTATGCCTCAGCTACATGCCTCGTTAGATAATTTTAAATCTTCTTTTGCCAACAATGGTGTTGGCCTCAAATTCCAGGAAGTGACCTGACAAAAAAAAAATTTGTAGTCTGAAACGAAATTTACTCCTATACAGCTTGTATGCCATTTGAAGCGACTTCCATATTGCAATGTCCCAATTAGGTCATCTTACTTCAATAGAGACAGCTCCGGTGAGTGGAAACTGCTTCCCTGCTTAACATACTGTAAGTGGTTCTTTCTTGATGCATCGTCCTTCCCTAAAGCTGAGGCAATATTAGAATTGCCATGCTTATCTTGGATTTCATACACAACACTCATCTAACTCTAAGAGGAACCCCATGTGCACGGGGCAGAGAGGTTCTCGTCCAACTTGTTCTCTCGACACTTCTTCAGAATGTAAAGCTGTCTCCGCATGTGTAAAACCTGCAATATCAAGGCTGATTAGGACACTGCTCTAATATCTCACCAGAAAATGAACATCATCAAAAAGTGTTTGTCAAAATTGTATGTTCTAATAGAGATGGCCCTTTTGGCATGCATCAAATTCACACCACACTTTTCCCAGTATGACATTTCACCAAACAGTGATCTTTGCTAGAGCATATGAGATTATCAACTAGCAGAATTGAGAGCACATAATGATCTGAGACATCTAATCAGTTCAAGCCCTAGCCCACACCCTACCCAAGAAGAAAAAAAGCAAGCAAAATAGAGGAGAAAAAAGAGTGAAGATGAGTCTTCTTCATGAAGAAACGAAAAGGAGCTCTTCTTCAAAAGACACTCTCCGTCAGCAATAAAACAAAGCAAAAACAGGCAATGATGTTACAGATAACATTTCCAAAAAGAGATATGAATACCTCTTCTTGAAGCATGGCAGGAAGATTATCCATTGAAACAAGGCTCTGTACTTCCTCCAGAAGTTTCTCGTCTTTGATACCACACCAGGTTTCAGGTGGCAACGTCAACAGAAGTGCAGTTAAGATATTGCTTCCAACCGGTTGAGTGCTAGTACAGTTTTTGGGATCCATGGCACCACAAAAGAGTTCCATCAGAGATTGTGGGGCCAGCATGTTGACCTTTTCCTTGTTTTTACCATTCACAATTGTTGCACTTGGCACCAACACAGTTTTTTGACCATCGACATTCTCGCATTTAAGGCAAGCTTCACGACAGCAAGAGCAGCTTGAGGTGCCAGATTTTCTGCTTAAAATTTCTGCCCCCTGGCAATAGGCGTTGGCTGCAATTTCATGAAGATTTTCATTGCCACCAAAAACTGGTACTCTTCTGCAGCATGAAGTTGAAGACAAAAAATTAACTAGGTGCTTGAAAAAACCAGTATCTTGAACCTGCTTTAACAGCTCTTCCTGCAAAAGAAAAAGAACAGACTTTCAGTCGGTGTATGTTTAGACAAACAAGAGTCCATTTCAAGGTCACGAAACAACAAAAGGATATGAACATGCTGCACCATACCCTGATCGCAAGTCTTCGTTTTTCTTCTTCGCTTATCGCTATACCACCATCCCATTCCCTCCTAACTTCAGCAACCCACTGGATAAATTTCTCGAAATCAGACGGGAGTGATGCCAAAAGAATACTGAGAATGCCATTGACATCTTTCACATCCGCGGACTTTAACAGATGCGGAACGTCATCCATCAAGTACTTTGCAACACCAACCCAACTTTCATGTTTGCAGTTCTGCATACAATTTAACATTAAATGTTAAACTTACAAAAGCAGTAAAATCCATCAAAGACAAGGAAAAAAAAAGGGAATTAGTGGATGAGAGCAGAAGGGCACAGTATATCTTGCGTCAGTCATTTAAATTACAGATGAGGGTCTGCATAGCACAAGGGGAACAAAAGAAATGCCGATTATATTTTCCCTTTGTTTAAACTAGCACTTCCTAGTTGGTTCCCTTGACCTTTTGTCCTCCTTGAATCTACAGTGATAAATATTCCCCGTGCCCAGCCAGGACCTTCACTAAAAAGGAAACTTTTACATTGAAGTAGTATCTACAATCTATAATTCAACAACATGCCACAAGAGCCTAATAACTGTCATCTGACAATGTGTGTGATGGGTCATAAAAGAACCTGAGTCGTTCACAACGTGAATAAAAGAGAAGTTATCATTCGAAACCCAAACCTAACATGATATGAAGACAATCGATCTTAATTGACACAACTTGACACATTTTAACTCTTTTCTATAAAACCCAATGTTTCATCACATTGACGAAAAATTGTACTATTTTAACAATAACAGTGATATGGACGAGAATTAACATTAATGATAATGCAAAATAATTGTCAGTTTAAATCAAAATAACTTGAGAACATGTCAATGATACGATTGGCAGTTACAGGCACATTTGATCACTACTAGAAAGAAAATACATAATCATGGATATCCAATACTAATGTTGACATTCAAGACAATGAAGTCTTGGAGAACTTTAGAAAAAAAATCGTTGTCTTGTTTAAAAGGTGGATGTATATACGTACACTTTCTAGAAGTTGAAGAAAACAGCCTCCAATCGGAGATGAGATATGTATAAGCCATCTCTCCAAGTCTGAACACAAGGTACACAAATACACAAAGACTGAAAGAGAGACTACTACTGTCTACTGCTTTCTGAAAATCAAGTCCTCAAGCACAAAGGAAAATATTGAAAATTCAGATTGTATCATTTTATAGATAATTTAAATACCATAAACTAAATTGACTAAAATCTGAATCAGCACTTTATTATCACAAGATTAATATAAAGTAATACTCCAAAGCTTATGAACAAAGTTTAACAAAAAATGAAGTAAATTATCTACTGCTAAAAGAGATTATTTGCAGCAAGATTTAGTTTGTAGCAGCAGGGAGGAAAGATATGGTATCTGGGACAACAGGATAAATACCGTTATCGACACCAGCACTCTGATGACATATCAGTGACACAAGTCAGTGCTTACAGTATATCAAAGCCACCAGATTTACCATGTTTGGCTCCTTTACGCATATACCTTAAATTAACATATTGAGCTGTTTGGTATTGTAATGAAGGCATATATCGCAGTAACTGCTGAAGTGCTAAAAATTTTCAAAAAATGGGACTGAATAAATCAATTTGGAAAAAGGAGAAACAAAGATAAACACAAGTTATGCGATTATAGCACATCTTGCACTACTGCACTACTTTATTGATTAACGACGCTTATAAATTTATATGACATTGCCCTACCAGGGTATAAAGCAGCCCAGGGTCTCTCTTTGGCCTGGATATAAGCATGAACCTGGGCAAAATTCAATAATTGGATTTCAGTTGACAAACTTACTAGGTTACAGGTGTATATTATATATATCCTTGGTCTTTGACATTCTGGAATTTAGTGTCTATATGATTCGCACATTAAGGAATATTAATCCAGTTTTATACACTCTTGTCTAGATAACTCATGCTAGAGCAATTCAAACTAAATTCCATTTCTAACTTGTAAAAGCAAAACTAGTTTGGTTCTTTCAAGTTATTGACGAACATATAAACGACAGTAAACCTATATTGCAAGGATCTCACAAAAGTTCCCTCAACTTCTAATAGGCTATGAGATAGCATCAGGTATGCTACTTATCTATTAACTTTTTCAATGTATCTTTGCAGCATGACATCTTGGAAACTAAGAGTGTTTAGGTTAACAAGCACAAATGCATAGACATGCTCAGATACCCGCAAAACCCATGTTATATTGGTAATAACCCTCCTTCTGCTCCACTGAACAAACTAGATAACATAATGTCAAATTGTTCACATACCCTCTTCTTTGTCCAGTTGTCTTGTCAACAGTATCCATGGCTTCCCAGAGGAGAGGAAGTGGAACCCAATGAGGAGGATACTTGAAACGCGCAACATCCAATATCAGTACCATGTCACTTCCCTCGTGATAACCACCGATAGGAGAAAAATGGCCAGTTCCTGTCTGCAAACAAAGTCTTTTCAATGTTATGCTGTCATCAACTTAAGCATCATCCTCCCTTTAAAAATTGAGCATCAGCCAATGTGACAAAAAACAATCAAGATAACATCACTTCAAGGTACATTTCCTGTGTAACAAATACAATGCTCAGAAATGGACTTGGAAACTGAGTCTTTTTTGAACATCTAACCTATTTTCTAACTCCCATTCTGTAATTGGGAGGCATTGATGCTCTTTAGTACACTTATTATTTAAAAAAAAAAAAAAAGAACCTACTCAGGATATCCGCTGTGAAATATTAACAGAAAGTAGAAACTAATCAAAGAAGAGACTTGCACTTAAGATGTGGCCTACAAGATATTTCTGATGACCAATTCTTGTAAATGGTGACATAAGTTACATGTCACCCTTCTATACCAGAGCTCAAGTTTTCTGTTCTATGTTTGACACTAGCTATAATGCCTCCAACGTTGAAATCAACTCCAGAAACTTCCAAAGTCTCTATCAGCAAAGCCCCCCTCTGAAATGTTGCCAAGGACAAGTTTTTTCCACCTGGGAGAAAACTATGTAACTCACAAAAGATGAAACGATTTTGATGGTAGACAAAATAATTACTTTAAAAAGTTTAGCTGCAGATGGACAGCTCCATCAAGACATGGCTAATCTGAATATCCTAACAGGAATAAGATTCTTCTCCTCATTATTTATTTATTTATTTTTGTTTTTGTATAAGTGATAAACTAGGAACAAGTCCTAAAGAATCAGTGAGACTAGCTCACAGTCTTGATAGACAAAGTCCATATAGACTCCAAGCAATCATTATTTTTATGATTAGAGATGCCAAGGATTTTAATAAGTTCATTAATTCTACATGAAGTGGGTTTCTCAAGTTTCACATTTCTTTTTGGAGTAGGATGTTAGTGGAGTTTATAAAGATGGTGTTCTTCAGATTAAGAAGTTAGAAATAGAATGACTGAATATAATTTAACTTTAAAACATTTGTTGGTTTTAGAATTGTGTGATGCTATTCTAGTTTTGGGTTTGATGCTTAAGAATACCCCTTTATAATTCTTAGGAGCTTCAGCCACGCCAAAGATCTTCAACCTTCACAAGTTACTATCTGCAAGTTTCCTCTCAATGCCCAATCCAAATTTAGCTTACTATTCCAGACTATCTTCCTACATCAACCTAGCTAAGCAAGAGCTTGCTAAGAACCTAGCAGACATTCCCTTAAGAAATATCAGTAGTCTCCAATGCCATCCCACTTCAAGAGGAAACACCCTCATTAAGCCCAGGAACTCAAATTAACCATCCAGCTCTTCTCCAACATTAGTATTGTGGTCCTAATAAAGCACAAGAAACAATCATCAAAGCATTAAACTATACATACATGAGCTAGTAAAATTTTGAATTGTTTGCACAAGACTTGGAATTATTGAAAGTCAAAAATAGCCCCTCGTTTCAGCAATTATTGAAAGCACGTTCAAAGCCTTACACTCCGGTATAGCAGCATGCTATTTAGGGATGTAAATGCTTCATCACCAATTTGATTCTTTGTCATATAAATGAGTTTTGTTAAGGGTTCCAACATATTGTACATGGGTTGGCATTCCCTTGGTGCCCTAGCCTCAGTCTCCAGTTAAATCCCATTCACCTAACCTTCGATTTACACATGCTCAAAATGAAAAAGCATCCATAGCAATGTTCTGCTCTGTACAAAGATGCACTCCCACTGATCTTCATTGTCTGAATTTAATCATTCAAAGGGATCAACGACCAACAATGCGGGCAAAACTAGTTGTATCTGCCCCATCTTCACCAAACCCCCATATTCCTTGCCATAAAAAGTACTTAGGTTAAGACTTTTCTCATCTTCATCAACCTCTTAACTCTTAAGCCTTAGCTCACTCCTTATGCCTTAAAAGGCAAAGAATTAATAATCAATCAATTCTCTTAAAGAGATGCAATGTCCCCATCCCAACACACAAATCAGCACGATGTTTTCGTTCCGAAATTCCTACCTGTTTTAAAGCGGCTCTGTGATATGATGAGACTAGGTGACAATTATCTGACGAAGAACATCTTTTAACAAACTGACGGAAGTGATCTACAGTGGTTTGACTAGTCCGTAATGCTTCAACTTCAGCTCCAGCACATTGAGCCAGACATACTACCTTCCCAAACGATATGCCTTCAGCTTTAACTTTTTCCAGAGGCTCACAACAGTCTAACATAGACTCATCAAACCATCTCCAAGGACCTGTAATTTGAAGAACACTTTTACATCATACAAATGCATGCGCATACACAAAACACTCGCCCTATATTTGCTGTAAGAATCCCAAAAAGCTCGATCTTCTTAAAAAATGGGAAGAGAAAGGTTGGATCCTACAAGGCGTTTATCCCTTGAAATAAGAAACATTCGATTGGTTTCTTCCTCACATTTTGAACACATAAAAATCCTAAACATTCTCTAGTCCATGCACCAGCAAACCAAGCACTGCATAACCAAAAGCATGCGTCTTTAGGCTGTCAAAGAAACGAAGGCATGCAAATGAACAGCTTTACATCTCTAATAAAAGGCAATTGTTTTTTTTTTTGGTAAGGAAATAAAAGGCAATTGTTCGCACAGGAAGAATTATCTAATTCTCAAATTTTACAAACCTAAGGAGAAAAAGATATTATGGACACATATTCACAACAACTAACGCTCCAAGGAAGCAAACTCCATTCATGAAGCTACTAACAACTAACTTCATACGCAAGCTTGAATGTTAACTCTCAACGTTCCATGCTACAAGACAGTACAGCCTCCATAAAGTATATTTTAGTAATTAGGAAATACATCTTAGAATTGAAAAGAGAATCATGGGGTATGTTGTTCACAGATCCTTCTCAAGACTAGGCCAAGAACTTTGAAAAAGATGTATATGTCGAACATGAACACTATTTGAGTCCATACACTCAATTCTGCTCGTTAACCCAATACTCCATTCACATTTTACACCTTTTGTCAACTTGCATTATATGCTTAACCAACTTAGCGTTCGTTTCTTCTTAAAGAGAGCCACTCTCTTGCAAACGCGAACAGAGTTCAAAAAGATGTCGAACTGTAAAAAGGTCCACCTTTCCATTTCCTTCCGGGGTCGATGGCAAGGGCATTCAAGACCATTGAGAGGCTAGCCAATCCACAATATGCAGGCTCTGATTGTGTTTGAAAGTAAGAGATCAACTTATAAAATCCTTCCATCGTCCCAGCTTGGATGGCTTCAATGAAGAGCTTCTGTCGATGGCAAAACGCACGAATTGAAACCATTTCGTCATAGACTATTCACGAGAACAGCAAAATGAAAGCATAGCATCAATCTAAGCATGTTCCAAGAATGATTCAAAGTCACGGGTCATCTTTCTATTCCTTTTAAAAGCCCATATTATTTCAATAAGTCCTCCAATTTCTTCACTCGCCAGTCGAAGTGAGCGACATTTTCAAATAACCGGTGATGCTTTCTCTACAAGACTCAATCATCCCACACAAAGCGCGTGACCCACAAAACCAAAACAGCCGTACGGCACACAATCTCGATCGGAGCAACTCCCGTCTCCAAACTTCAGGGCTAGAATCCTAGCCGAGACCAAAACAACACAATGCAGCGACACATGGAACTCGGGCACTGTCGAAGCACCGATCACCGGCATCGTTAGGAGCTGAACCAGTCAAAAAAAAAAACCGCGGAACGAAGAGGGACTTACCTTCCCTTCATCGGAGGCGAAATCGATCGCCGGAGGAGTAGGGAGGACTCGCCGGTAAAGGCCCGCCGTCGCCATTCCCCCCGCTTCGCTTCTTCCCTTCTCCGCCCGCCCCGCCCCGCCCCCCCGGCAATTTCAGTCCGACTCTGCTGGATCGAAGACGAGGTGGGTGGAATTCAATTCGACAACGAAGAGACGAGTTTCAGACAAGAGCAGGAGGGAAGACGATTGCATTTGTGGGAGGATCGAAGTGGCCTGGAGAGAATCCTTGCTTTGCTCAAAGAGTTTCGGCAGTGGAGAAGGCTGGGGAACCAGCACTTACCGTAGCTTTATTTTTTTTGAAAAGTTGCCCAAAACTCCCCCTGCATATTGCACATTTACCCCTAAGTTTCCAATTATTACACATCATCCCCCTCAAACTAGGAGCGTACAAAGAAACCGGAAATCGCCCGAAACCAAACCGGATTGGCCTGAAACCACCCGCTCGGATTGGACAGGTAATATATATAATTTTTAAGAAAAAATTTCAATCAAGAAAAAAAGAAAAGATCTATTAGAAAAATGAAAACCCTAAAATCCATAATCTTAAGCTCAACGTTCATCAATCAAGTGCTATCTCGTCTCATTCTCATATTGTCTGAATCGTCTCTCTATCTCTCGTTCATAGTCTCGACTCTCAAACTCAACGCCATCGACTCACAACCACGCCTCCGACCGTTCATCGCCTCCTTTTCTTCCTCTCGATCATTTTCATTTGCGTAAAGTTTGGTGAGATCGATTCCATGGACCCATCCGAAAACCGAACCGCCGATCCGGTCCTTAGTGGGCAGTTCTCGTTTCGTGGTGAGAATCGCCCATGCGGACCATGTTGACCCCTATCTCGAACTTTCATTTTGTTATGATCATTAATCGCCCATCACACTTTCTTGTTGTCAACGTGGATAATGCATATGACTTTCGAGAAGGAGCCACATATTTTCATCTCTCTTTCTCAGGGAAATTTCTCTTGAATTATATATGAGTACCGACTTGTGCTTGCCTTACTTATCAACTGGTTCTATAACCGACTTTTTTCCGATTAAGTTATCGATTAGCTTTGTGTTACCAACTTTTATATGAGTGAGTTACTATCATTTATTTGTCTTTTTTTAATTCACCAACTTCTCTTGTCTCTGAAAAAAAAAAACCTTTTCTTATCTTTCTATTATCTTTTACATCCATTTTATTACCAAATGATATTACCAACTTTTATTTGAATGACTTATCAAAATTTTCTTTTCTATTAACTCGTGAACTAATTTTCTTTTAAAGTTAATATAAATGATAAAGACTTGTAAATCTTTTCACGATAACACGTTTGAAACTAGCGTTTGACATTTAAAGGATTAGCTAGCAATTAATTTCACGGTTGTATCTCGACAATTTGAAACTATTTTTCACATTTTGAAACTAACCGTCGGGTTGCCCATCCTAAGAAAAAGAGAATTTGTGGTCCTACTGGCACCGTTACTATATGTTTGTAACGGTGCCGTTATGCAAGCCTATCTAACCAAAAAAACAATCAATTAGCGAGAGAAAAAGTATAACGGAAAGACTAACATTGACATTTTCTACAAAATTGAGGGGACGTTTCTTAATAAAATAATAAAAGAGAAAAACATAGAGGAATGATTTTGATTTCGGACAAAAATAGAAGGACCATGTTGATACTATTCCTTAGATAAAACTGAAATTAAAAAAAAAACATAAAATCTTCATCCCACATTACTTTCTCAAATCCGGTTGTCTACCCTTCACAAAACGTCCATGCAATTGTCCAAAATAACGACCCACCAAGTAAGGTCATATGTACATCTTTTGGTTTCAACGTCACTTCCCAAAAGCAAAGATAATACACCAACAAGGCAATTGCCTCATTTTGTAAAATAATTGGGGCTCAACAAGGCAATTGCCTCACTTTATGACGCGCTAGTTCGACACAATGGTGACAACCCACGATTATTGACTCTATAGAGTATTCGAAGTACGCTTTATTCCCCCCATAAGGTGACAGCCAGAAACAAATGTGCATGTATTTCCACGCAAAAGTTTGCCAAAATTTAACACTCTTATAAGACTCAGCCGCGTTCATCCAATACTCTTAAACGCACCCCCCCCTCTCATGTAATTGCCCTAAGCTACATGATGATGCCACATTATTTCAGTTATCCAAAATCAAGAGACAAAATGTGCTTCACACTAATGCTGTTCTTGATCACACTTCAACTCTCAAGCTCAGTTGTTTCAGCATATCCCCTAACAAAGAGACCTTCACCATCACATTTCTCCATATTCCCTAGAGCTTCGACTTCTGCCACCAATCCGGCCTCCAAGGCCGAGCTTTTCGAGGGCTCGGTCAAGTTCGCCTTGGTTCGGGTCGAGTCGGCATGAGCCATGGCCCAAAACCTTACCCTTTCTCAGCACAAGGTGCCGGCGAAGTCGCTACCAAGCAGCATCACCGATTGTTTGGAGCTCTTTGACGACACCATAGACCTACTTGTCAACATGGTGTCATGTGGTGGCAGAACCTCCGAAGGCTGCGGCTCCAACGACATCGAAACATGGCTCAGTGCGTCCCTCACGAATCAAGAAACCTGCCTTGACAGCCTCCAAGACACTAACAAAGTTCGAGAAAACCACGCCGACATGATGAGATCAATCTCACAAAACATAAGTCACTCGCTCAACGATACCCTCGCGCTTTACACCTCGACTAGGCCAACAAAGGAGGCGAACGGGCAACCACGTCACACTTTGTTGTCCAACACATTCCCTCACTGGGTCTCCGGCATGGAGAGAAAGCTTCTCGAAGCTCCGGTCGAGGAAATTAAAGCGAGTGCCGTTGTGTCGAAGGACTGGCACACACAAGACCATTGGAAAAGAGCTTAGGTTTGTGCATGCCTCAAAAGCGAAAAAGGGTGGCGGCGACAAAGGCAGGACCGTAATTTATTTGAAGGCCGGGACCTATAAGGAGAATCTAAAGATTCCCTCCAAGCAAAAGAACGTTATGTTAGTCGGCGACAAGAAGGGAAAGACAGTCATTGTCAGCAATCGGAACACCAAGGATGGATGGACCACTTTCCAGTCTGCCACCGTCGGTAATTAAGGGCCCGTTTGGCAAGTTGTCAAATAGTAAAAATTTCTGTTCTTTTGTTCCTAGAATTTATTTGGGAACATAAATCCGTTTGTTAAATTTTTTGTACCCGGGCACAATTTTGCAAAAAATTGCTCTCAGAATCAGTTTTGGAATAGAATCAAGAAACAAAAAAAAGTAACTTCTTGATTCTAGAACAATTTTTCTATTTCTAATTCTTCTAGGTTTTCTTCTTTTTTTTGGGTTTGTTCTTGTTCTTCTTCTTCTTCCCGGCCTGCCGCCAGCCACCCACCAGCGATAGGCCACAGGCCAGGGCCGGTGAGGGCGTCGCGGCTCTTGCCGCTTGGGTGAGGGCGACTCGCGGCCGGGACAGTGAGGGCGGCGGTGAGGGCTGCGACGCCCTCGCTGGCCCTGGCCTGTGACCGATCGCCGGCGACCGGCCATGGCCAAGGAAGGGAAGGAAAAATAAGAAAAAAAAAGGAAAAAAACATAAAGAAATATTAAAAAATTCAAAATATTATTAATAAAAAGAAATTTTGTGCAGTTACCAAACGCATTTATGTTCTTTTTCTATTCTATGAATAGAAATTTTGGACAGTTACCAAACGCCTTCAAATGCTTAGAAATTGTTCCCGGGCACAAAATAAAAAAGAATAATTTCTAAATAGAATTAGTTTCCAGGCACAGAATCGTTGCCATGCGCACCCTAAGAGCTTATTATTCTTCTGATGTTGACCTAATAATCACAAAAAAAATGTTGAGGGATGAAACAAGTGGACTTTTGGCATTTCCCTTTTGCAAGTATTTTATCGGTCAAATTACATTTTAAAAAAGAGCAAAGTATATTGGATATATGTATATTAGATCTAGAGTTTGGATATAATTAAGTACACGGGCATCAAACAAAGGATAGACTGAGCTACAATGAATATAATGTGTCCAATGTGTATGTGTATCTGCATATATATAGCGCCTAAAATTTATGGATTATAAACACACATTATATGAACATACAACACAAACACAGAGTTGAGTCATATGCTTATTAGTCGATCTCTTTTGTAATTTTTAATGTGTATATTCTCTACATAAGCTGCCATGGGCAACGGATTCATATCTCGGGACATCACGTTCGTGAACAATGCCGGGCCTGACAAGCACCAAGCTGTCGCCCTTCGAGTTGGATCAGACAAATCGGTCGTGTACCGGTGTTCCATCCTCGGCTACCAAGACACCCTCTACCCGCATTCGAAGCGCCAATTCTACCGAGAAACCGACATCTACAGGACTGTGGACTTCATCTTCGGCAACTTGGTGGTCGTCTTGCAGAAGTGCAACATCTATGCGCGGAAGCCGCTGTTGGGTCAGCACAACTTCGTGACTGCACAGGGCCGGACAAGCCCGTACCAGAACACGGGTATCTCCATACATGACAGCAAGATCGGGGCTGCTTCAGATTCGGTCCCCCTGGAGTCCAAGCCTATGACAGTCCTCGGGAGGCCGTGGAAACAGTATTCTCGGACGGTTGTGATGAAGTCTCTCTTGGATGGTTCGATCCATCCTCTAGGATGGTCTCCGTGGTCCGGCGATTTCACCCTGAAAACGCTTTTCTACGGCGAGTATCGAAACTCAGGACTTGGCGTATCAATTGCCGGAAGAGTCAAGTGGGCTTCATGCCATAGCTCTCTAACATCAGCACAGGCTCAACCATTCACAGTTGCACAGTTCATTTCAGGGAATTTGTGGTTGCCATCGACTGGCGTATCTTTTGATTCTGGGTTGATTGGATAAATGTTGCTCTTTTTTGGGTTTGTTTTGTTGGGATACACAATAAAAGGTTTGGTGTTTATGTTTGGCAAACATTGATTTGGATATTTTCATGTTGTTGCATTGTCTGTGCAATTATTGATGTGATGTCTTTTTGAGAAGGTGGGGTTTCCACATTATTTTCCTCATGTCCTGTTTTGGCATTGTCTTTTTCCAAAATGAAGCATATCGAATCCACAAGGAATTCAAACCCAGAAGACCTGGATCAATGTGGAGCCGAAAACGAAGCGATCCAAAGTCAAACCAAATGCTAAATGATGGGCGATTGCGCTATTTTCGTTCCAAAAAAATGAACTTTTCTTTCAGGTGCTAATAGATTTTTGAAAGAATCGATAAATGTAAAAAGCTATAG